GCTGCTGACTGCAGGTCTGCTGTCTTCCAGTTCCAGCAGCTGAGGAGCAGAGAGGCTGTGCGCAGGCGGGTGCTGGAGGTGGTGAACCATGTGGACAAGGTGGGGGCCGTTTCCACCCAGGGGGGCCTCCCAGGGGCTCCTCGCCCAGCAGGGGCTGCCAGAATCCCAAGCAACACAGATCCATTCTGGACTAGGCGTCACCCAGCCTGACAGAAACCCTGGTTGTCGAAGTGGAGGGGGCACCTGGAGGGAGGGGTGTGGGGTGGTAGAGCCATCAGCAGGCGAGGAGGCAGCTTGGCCCCGTGCCACTCTCAGCGGATACCTTTCTACAGCCCAGGCCCTGCCCACTCTGCGGTGGGTGCGGGCTTCACTGTCCTGGAGCCTCACCTGCGGGATCTTGTCCTCCTGCAGCTTTATCAGGAACTCCGCTTCCGCGTGGTCCTCGTGGGCCTGGATATCTGGAACGTGGACAAGATTCAGGTCAGCCCCGAGGCCGGCACCACACTGGACAACTTCCTGGCCTGGCGGGCACAGAACCTGGTGGGGCGGTACCCTCATGACAACGCACAGCTCATCACGTGAGTGGGCAGCTGGCGACGGGCAGCGACAACAGCCACCGCCAGGAAGGGCTGTGGGAGCGAGGGGGCACTCAGGAGCATAGCCCTTCCTGGGGGGCCCACCTTCAGACACTTGTCTTGTTTCCAGTGGGGTCGACTTCACCGGGTCCACTGTGGGACTGGCCAAGGTGTCTACCATGTGCTCTCAGGACTCAGGGGCTGTGAACCAGGTATGGAGGGGCCCAGCCCATGTGGGGAGCCAGGCTTGAAGCTTGAGCTGAAATGCATGCGGGGGAGACCTCAAGACTCAGGTGCACCTGCTGGTCCCCAAGCTGTCCCCACGAACACCTGACCGGCTGCCTCTTCAGGAGAATGCATTGATGCTTTATGTTTGTTTGTTTTTAATTCTCATACAAGGATATGTTTTTCATTGATTTTTAGAGAGAGAGAGAAAAACATTGATTGCTTACCTCCCCCACGAACCCCAGTTGGGGATTGAATCCGAAACCTGGGTGTGTGCCCTGACTAGGAATCAAACCCGCGCCCCTTCAGTGTACAGGACAATGCTCCAACCAACTGAGCCACACCAGCCAGGGTGGTGTTCTGTGTTATAAGAAGTGTTAGCAGGAAGGGATGCCAGCCTTGCTTGGGGCAGCAGGACCGGCAGGAAGGTGACTGGGCCGAGTCGGTGGCACCATCGAGCACAGCCTCTCACTGCAGGACCACAGCCAGAACCCAATCGGCGTGGCGTGCACCATGGCCCACGAGATGGGCCACAACCTGGGCATGGACCACGATGAGAACGTCCAGGGCTGCTACTGCCCCGTGCCACGCAGTGGCGGCGGCTGCGTCATGGCAGCCAGCATCGGGTGAGGCTCACCCCAATCCTGCCCGACTGAGGGCACCTGCAGGGCAGACTGTCCTGAGGTGCAGGTGGCCTGCCCACCACCCGCCCTCCCCTGAGAGACACCTCTCCCCTCAGCTCCTCGTTCCCCAGAAAGTTCAGCCATTGCAGCCGGGAGGACCTGGAGACATTTGCGGAGAAGCCCCGTATAAACTGCATCGGGAATGCTCCAGACCCCGACCGCCTGGTGGGCGGTCCTGTGTGCGGGAATGGGTTTGTGGAGCGCGGGGAGCAGTGTGACTGCGGCCACCCCCAGGTACAGGCACTGCCACCCTCTGCCCTGCACCTACCCCGGGTCTCAATCCTACGGGTTAGGACGTCCGTTCCTGACTGGGCAGGCACCCTGCATGCCCACAGCCACAATCCGAACACATTCCTGCCTGCTGACACCCCCATCGACCCGTAGGGGAAGGCCCCAGCCCAACTGAGGGCCAGTCATGGAGGGAGGTGGGGCCCCGGGGCCACTCTGGAGCTCGGTGCTCAGACCCTCAGCATTGCTCCGTCCTCAGGACTGTCAGAATCACTGCTGCAATGCCACCACCTGCCAGCTGGCCCAGGGGGCCGAGTGTGCCCATGGTGAATGCTGCCATGAGTGCAAGGTGAGCACAGGGCCCCCCAGGTGCCCCACCCTGCCCCCAATCCAGCTGTGCCCCAAGGTCAGCGGGTGGGAAGGGGCCCCAGGGATGGTGGTGATGGAGCAGCAGGCTTGGGTCTGGTTGGGACCTGCTGTTCCCATGGTTAGCGTCACTCTGCTGGGCCAGGTGAAGCCGGCCGGCAAGCTGTGCCGCCCCCACAAGGACGCCTGTGACCTGGAAGAGTATTGTGATGGCCAGCGGCCAGCTTGCCCAGAGGACGCCTTCCAGGAGAACGGCACACCATGCCCGGGGGGCTACTGCTACAACGGAATCTGTCCCACAATGGCCCAGAGGTGCCAGGACTTGTGGGGACCAGGTGAGGTCGGTGGCAGGTGACCCACAGGCCGAGGGTGGCTTTGGGTCCTGAGCTGGAGGACTGACCTGCTCCTGGCCTGCAGGTGCACGGCCTGCCATGGAGATGTGCAACACCTACAGTATCTCACCAGGCTGCAAGAGCAGTGTCACCCGTGGTCCCTACCGGTGAGCATCAACCAAGCCCGACTCCCCTGGCTCCAGGGATGTCTTCATGGGTGGGGTCTCCCAAGAGAGCCCTCTGCACAAAGGAATAGGGGCCTGAGTCAGGGGTCTCACACTGCCTTCCAGGGCCATCAGGCCTAACCACAGTGCCCTTGTGGGAGGGTGGATGGGTCACTCTGGCTGGGGGTGTGGTTGCCCCGTTAGTGAATGCCACAGCCCGTCCAAGGGTCCTGGGCCTCATCTCCTGGCAGCTCCTTAGGTCCCCACTGAGCACATCAGCATGCACGGAGCAGGAGACCCAACAGAGCTGGCACCATGGCAAATCCCTCTGTTCACAGGGCCCACTGTGGCATCCTGTTCTGTGAAGGTGGGAAGAAGCCTCCAGAGCGGGGCTCCTGCACCATCACCTACAACTCAGGCGCTTGCCAGGCTCTTGACCTTGACAGTGGCTCTGGGTACGAGCAGGTGCTCGAAGGCACCAAGTGCGGTGATGAGAGGGTAAGTGACCAGACATGAGCCTGGACATGCCCCCCGAGGCAGTCAGGCCACTGGACCCCATGTCCTGGAGTAAGTCCCACATGTGAGCTCATGTGGTTCAAAGTAGGGTGGTGGCAGCTGGAGGGCTGTGTGGACAGATGGACCCCTGTTCTCAGTAGAAACTCAGTGCATGGGGAGAAGCCAGAAAAGCCGTTCTCAGATAACGTGGTTTGAAGACCTTTTCATCTGCAAGTCCCCCCAGGGGACAGGTGGGGCCGGTCCTCTCTGACTCTGGTGGCAGCAGCAGGCTGGCCGGATGGCCAGCAAAAGGACTGCAGACAAGGCCTTCCTGGCTGTGGTGGCTGCGGTCCGCCCCCCTTGAAGCTCACCTGCAGGTTTTGGGTGGGCTTCTGCTGCTGGGGGAGAGTGGGGGTCAGGGGTTGAGACTGGCTGCCTAATCAGACCCCTCTTGTCTTCTAGGTGTGTTGGAAAGGACAATGCCAGGGCCTCCACGTCTACAGGTCCAGAAACTGCTCTGCCCAGTGCAACGGCCACGGGGTGTGTGGGACTTCAGGGTGAAGGAGACTATAGGCCGGACTCAGGGCAAACCCAGGTGGACAGAGGGCAGAGGCCTGGAGCTGGCGAGGATCTGTGGGCCCCACGTGGACCCTGAGTTCTAGGTGCTGGTAGTGCCTATGGATACGTGGGCTGGGGCGGCTCTGTTCTGAGATGGGAGAGAGCACTCAGCTCTTCTTGCCGCATCTGCGATGAAGGGATGTCAGACCACCGAGAGCTTGAAATGGGCTGGAGCATCCCTCCTGAGCCGCCTGGAGAGGGCAGGGTACCATACCCTTGCTTTGGTGTTTGGTCCCCTGGGTGAGGGGAGGAGCTGTTGCTGTCAGCGTGTGTTACAGCTCTGAACACCTAGAAGTAGGAGCCAGGCCAGTGGGGGAGCCCAGCCTGTCCCCGTCAATAGGGGTCATAACAGAGCCCCTCGCAGGCCTAGACTGGGCCTGGTGACTCCCATGTGGGGACCGGGCAATGCAGCATAGGAAGGGTCCGGGGGCCCATTCCTAACACCTGGCTGTCCCCCAGGTGTGCAACCACAAGGGGAAGTGCCACTGCCAGCCGGGCTGGGCCCCACCCTACTGCACAGACCAGCTGGCCAACATGCGCACAGGTAGGGCCCGACTGCCCCCAGGGCCTTCACACCCGCACAGCCTGATGGGATCCAGCAGGACCACTTGGGCAGTGAGAAGGAAGCTGTGTGCCCCCAAACCATGGGTGCATCATTAAAGATTCAGACTTGCAGTCCCGGGTATCCTGACCTCACAGGTGTAGGGTAGGGCCTACGAGCCTGTGACCCCACCTCGGATGCACAGGAGAAGGGTCCTCAGATGGGTATTTGGCTGTGGGGGAGAGGCCCAGGGCTCCAGCCCAGGAGGGGCCCCAGGAAGGCCCTTGGCCACCCTCCCAGCCCCCACTGTCCCATTGACACCTGGCCTCATGTGCCCCACAGCATCTGGGAGCCTCCTGATGGGTGTGCTGGTGCCTGTGTTGCTCCTGGTGGCTCTGGCGCTCATTGTGGTAGGCGTGGTCATCTACCGCAAGACTGAGAGCCACATCCAACGGAGGTGAGGGTTCCCTGGGGTTGTAAAACGTCCCTGTGCAACAAGCACATCCCCTCCTTGCACTGTTGGGAAATAACCCTGCTGCTGCTGGAGGAAGAAGAAAATCCACAGCCAGTCCTCGAGGGCCTCTCGCTGGGGTGGGAACAGGTAACAAGCTTTGGTGACAGGTTGGAGATGTGGTAAGCCCAGAGAGATGGCCCCCATCCCCCATGCACAACTGACCCTGGTAGGCGTTGGCACTCTTGGGATAATGTGGGCTCAGAGAAGCCGCCCACACCATCCACTCGTTGGCCACCTGCCCTGTCAGCTACTTGACCCCTTCTGTGCCGGTCGCAGAAAAACACGAGGCTGCCTCTCCTTTTTGAATGGCTATGACTGGCACTATGTGGGGGGTGGCAGGCACTGCAGCTGTGAGGTACCCTGGCCGGGTCAGAGGACCTCATACCCAGGGGACCCCATGTCCCTGGGTCAAACCCTGAAGCCAGGATACACTGATGCGTCTTTCTTTCTTTGCAGGAACGTGGCAACCAAGACCGCTGTGGGGCTCTCCAACCCCCTGTTCCACGAGAGGGGCATTGGGGCGGCAAAGGGCAGGGCTCCGGCCCCCACTGTGGGCTCCCCAGCGCCAGTCCCTACCATGCATACCATCCACCCCGGCCAGCTCCCCAGGCCCACAGCTTCCACAGTGACCTCTAAACAGCCACTCCCTGCTGTAAGCACCAGCCAGCTTCCCAGGCCACCTAATCCCTGGAACCAGGGTGCTCCTCCAGGGCCTTAGAGCAGCAGCCACGATCACCCTGTTTGGAGGCAGGAAGGAGGCTTTATGATGGGCGGTCTGAGGACCCACAGGAACTGATGACAGAATTGGCGGTCTGAGACCCACAGGAACTGATGACAGAATTGAACTTGAATCTGAGGTTTGAGGTCTCTGCAGGGTCTGAGGACAGTTTTGAGGCCCAGACTCCCTCTGCTGTGACCCAGCACCTCAGAGTGTCCACATGGTTGAGAAGGGGGAATGTGCGGGTCACATTCTAAGAGAAGGGAATGTACAGGTCATATTTGGGCTCTGGGCCCTGCTGGTGGTGGGGCAGAGCCCCCATACACACACCTGGAGCTTTATTCTTGTTCTGGGAGGGGCAGAAACCTTGGGTCATGAGCTGAGGGGCAGGGGTGGGGGAACAGCCAGGGGAGATCCAGGCTCATGGCCCTGTTCCCTGCAGCCTCCGGTCACCATGTCCAGCCCACCCTTCCCAGTTCCTGTGTACACCCAGCAGGCCCCAGCCCAGGTGAGTGGTGGTGCGCCTGCAACCAGGCAGTCTAGGTGGCGAAAATTGGGCCCCAGGAGGTGGAAGGTCCAAGGGTTGGATCTGCTAGGCTGGGAACCCCAGGGTGGGACCACCGCACTTTCAGAAGGCTGATCACCCGGGCCCCGTGAGGACATTAACTCAGGGGCCTGGGCTCCTGACTATTCCTCCTTCCTCCAGCTCAGACCTGCTCCTCCCACTAAGCCCCTCCCGGAGCTGAAGCCCAGACAGGTGAGAGGACCTGGCCACTCGGCCACTCAGTACACTTACACTTCCTTGGCTATGCCTGTTCCCTTCCCCTCAGGCCAGATCCCAGCCTCCCCCTCAACCCAAACTCCACAGGAGGGGGGGTGCTCCTGTGGAGTACTCCCCTGCAGGCCTGACCACCTCTGGGCTTACCCCGGAGTCCCTTCTGCAGATCACAGAGGTCTGGCCCTGGTGAGGCTTGCTCACCGCCTACCTTAGCCCTGGACCAATACCTGCCTGCAGCAGGTGGCTGCCTCTGCTCCTGGCAAAGTGGGGGTGGCAGGAACAGCCAGACTTCTCAACCAGTTGTCACCCCCCCCTGGGGAAGGCTCCACCCACCAGGTGTCTGTGGGAGCTCCCGGTATCCACCTGTCTGTCACCAGTGATGTTGACTCATGCAGGTTTCTCTCTGTGGCCTCTTGTCTTGGAGATACTTTGAGAGATGTGACTCCTGTTACTTTTTAAACTGACCCACATGGATCTCCCTGCAACAACCTTTACTGTGGTGTTTGCTTAACAGACATTCTCTATTGCTTTCCTTTTTAAACTTTTTATTTAGCACTAATTTTAGACTTACAGGAAGTTAAAAAAAATGGTCTAAAGGGGGGTTTTGACAGGCCAGATGGGGGGGCAGGGTGGGCAGAAAGATTTCTAGCCCGGGAAGTGGTGATAGCCAGGCACAGGCTAGGAGGAACCCCACTGCTCAGTAGGGTCCTTCTGGGTTATCGAAAATTATAAATGCTGGGCCTCACCCAGGCGTCCTGGATGCTGGGGTACGTGGCCAGGGCTGAGCATGGTTGGGTTAGGCCTAGTCAGCCTTCACCTCCATCCTGAGTGCCCCCTCCGGTCACCCTGGGAAAGCTGAAATGAAAAAAAAAAAAGCCAATTATAGTCATTAATTCTTGGTTTTGAACTTCTGGCAGTTTAAAAGCTTTTCACTGAAAATTTGGAGTGGTGTGGGGGCCTTGGGGAGAGAGCAACCATGTCTGGCTGGTTTGGGTTTCATTCTGCAGGTGGCCATGGGTAGAGGGAGGATGCTGGATGGGATTTTTCTGTAGAGAGCTCAGCAGAGAAGTCTGTGGGCTTGTCTGGAGCAGAGCAGAGCAGCTGTGAAGACAGTGCTCTGCCCTGGCCAGGATGGTTAGGTGGCATCCACTATCACTGTGTCTGCTTCCTCCCAGGTGGTCAAGCCAACTTCCGTGCCCCCGATGCCACCAGTCAAGCCCAGGGCTGGAGGGGCCAACCCTGGACCCACTGAGGTGAGCCCCTCACCCAGGGCAGTGTCTGCCTGCAGGGGCAGTGGATCGAGCTGTCTTCCTCCAGCAGGCTGACTGGGGCACTGCCCTAAGGGTTACATTGTCGGCTGAAAGGAGAAATGTTAGCTGAAGGTATATTCTAACCTCTGCTTTATACTCAGCCAGAGGACTTTTCAGGGATTGCTACTTCTACTGGCTATTAATTTGTCTTCACCTACTGGTCTAAGTATGAAAGTCTGTCCTTTATAAAATGTTAGCTGTGAGCACTGTGGCTGTCACTGTTATTGTGTGCACAGGGCCATCGTATTGTTTGCTGAACTAAGAATCTAAATTTTAGTAAGTGTAAAAGGAAATAAGATTCAGTTGTATTCTTTGTAGTGGGTGGTTTTTATCATCTCTTTTTTCCTCCTTCAAGGGAGTTGTTGGCCCAAAGGTTGCTCTGAAACCCCCTGTCCAAAGGAGGTGATGGGTCTGAGCTCACAGTGCCCTGGGGGCATCTGCGCACCTGTCTGCGAGTTGTTCATGTTGAAAGAGCCCTGCGCCAGCCGATGCAGCACCTCTGCCCAGGCCCTTGGTGCCCCGCTGGGCTGGGTCCACTGTGAAAAGTCCCAGCAGAAGAGCCACCTCCTCATCCCCAGGCCTCACTATAGCATCCTCCGGTCACAGCCAAGGGCCTCTCAGTCAGGACTGCGCTGCTGTTCCCGACCTCTCACCCGCGTTGGCCACAGTTAGCTACGCCATGCTGGGGAAGAGGGGTCAGCTACTGTGTGTACGTCTCCAGATGGCCTTCCCCAGGGTGCTGAGGAGGCTCCTCCAGGCCAACTGCACCTGCTGTCGGGCCTGCTGCACTCTCGCTGCTCCAGGCCCTCCCGGTGGAAGGCCTATGAGCGTTGTGTGTCCCAGGAAGGCCCCTCCTGCCAGTGCTGTCAACCACAGATTAGTACACCCAGACTGCAAGCCCCTCAATCTCCGGAGCCTGTTTCCCTGATAGTTAAGAAGAAAAAGGCTATTTTTACGATTAAATTATTGATCAACTTTTAAATGACAGGAGATTTTTATTGGATGGAATTTGGAGCAAGCCAATGTGAAATTCAGTTTGTAATATTTAAGGGTCCAATGCTTGTTAAAATAAAATGTGCACTGTACAAGGATGGCGACTTTTCATCTTTGCTGACTTGTTTTTGCTTCCTGCCCGCTGGGGTTGCTCAGTGGTTGAGCATCGACCTAGGATCCAGGAGATCGCGGTTGGATTCCCTGTCAGTGCACCTGCCAGGGTTTCGCCTCGGTCCCCAGCAGGGGGCGTGCAGGAGGCAGCTGACCCATGACTCTCTCATCATTGATGTTTCTCTCTCCCTCTCTGTGAAATCAGTAAAGGCATTTAAAGCAAAAAAGACACCCCCTAAACTGAGCACCCTGGCCGCACCCACGCGGGGACCCCAGGCCCCAGCCCAGGGGTAGAACTCCACCAGCACCCACAAAAAGCCAGTCCTTCCGGTCCCGCCCCCT